GGAAGCACAGATCAGAATCATGGAACACATCAACTGACTGGGAGCTCAAAAGAGTGGCCATTGTACATGGTTGGGGACACCAAAAAAAGACAGGGTGACATCAGAAGGTGAAATCAATTGACATATCAGATGGCTAGAGAGACTGCATGCCATAGTGGGTCACCTCTATGCTTAGGATACCCCAAATTGCTCCTGACATGTGACTGGCCTGAGGAACCACCACAATGCACCCCAAAAGAAAAGTAATGGGTTCCAAATGAAGGAGCTCACAAAGGTGCAGGAATGCAGTGGTGCCTACTAGACTAGAGGACTCTCATTCCTTGAAGTGTGGCCTTCTTTTTTGTCCAACACCATCATAGCTTCATGCTCTTGAGGAAAACACTCTAGAGATGCTTCTAGGTCGATATTACTGTATACCCAGCAGTCATCTTTCTGCATCATAAGGGTTAATTGATGTCAAACCTGTGCCTGAAATAATCCCCTCCAACACCCTTGGCCCATTCCAGGAATACAACATCCCGGAACCCCACCCTCTGAGGAATTAGAGGTTGATTTCACAGAAATCACACCTTGCCTAAGATATAAGAGCCTGCTGGTCTTTGCACTTACTCAGGCTGGGTAGAAGTTGTATCTACTCTAGTGGAAAAAAGCAGAAGAAGTGGCTACAGTTCTGCTGCAGGAGACCATCTCTCAATATGGACTGCCCTTCAGCATCAGAAGGGACAATGGACTGGCCTTTGTGGCAGAGATTACTCAGCTTCTCACAGACCTTCTCATGACCCAATGGAATCTTCATACAGATCACAAAGGTCGTGGAAGGTGGAGGGCATGCATCACACCCTGACGACCACTCAGGCTAATCTTGATCAGGAGATTCACATGGCCTGGACTGATATGCTGTCCCTGGCCCTGTTGCATGTCTGCAACATGCTGGGACCCTCAGGCCACTCCCTTATGATATACTGTTGTGGAGGCCCCCCTCTCATAATCAGAGGCTTCAGGAATGTCAGCCATCCAGGGACACCAGCCTGGCTCCTGAGATATAGGCAATAGGAAAGGTATTTTCTCACATTCACAAGGCTGACCTAGAGAGAATTCCAATCTTCTCAGGCAGCCTGGCAAACCCACTTATGTCAGGAGACTCAGTCTGGGTCAAAGATTGGAAAAAAGAACCCCTTCAGCCCATATGTACAGGGCCTTATACTGTTGTACTTGTCACCCCAACTGCTATTAAAGTTGCAAGTAGTGCCTCTTGGCAATACCATTTGTCTTACTCTTCTCTTATTGCTGGGACAAATACCCAACACTCAAAATGAGGGAAGGAAAGGTTTATTTAGCTCACAATTATTGGAAGTTTCATAGTTCAAAATAGCCTGAATTACATAGCAAGATCTTGGAGCCTTATTTGCTCAGGAGAGAGGGTCCATGCCTCTGTCTTCTCCAAACATCTCCTCTCTGTGCAAGGCGGCTTCAATCACAGAAAGTGCAGCCCCGCTCTGCAGGGTCTGGAGGAGAAGTTGGGGTGCCTCTCTGTCCAGGATGATGGGCTCTACACTTTTAAGAGAGGATGCAGGCCTGGGGAGAGGCAGAGCTCATGCTGCCAGTTTAATGGTTTGGTTCCCACCTCTCTGGCTCCACCCTTCGAGCCCTACCCTGGTCCACTGGCCCTGCCCCTCAAGCCACTCTTACTGCTCCTTGAGCTGGGTCTGTCCCATGACTTACATGAGGCTTTGGGGGAATAACTAGACACAAACCATAACAACATTCGAGGCTGAAAGAGGCTTACCCCAAGGACCCTTCAGTCATCCAGACTGCTCATACTTACCCTCAGACCCCCTGAAGACACGACTCTGATGGGAACTACTAAGACACAGCATGACCTCATAGATAGCACTGAGAGACAATCACCCTGCGCTAGTCATCCTAGAGGCGGACTAGTCTACACATGGCAGAAGCCTGAGGATGCTATTCACAGGAGAACTCCTCCCATTTTATAAGAGACTCGTTGCAATGCACTGTCATTCTTAGTACCTCTCTGTCCTTGGACTGGTGGCTTTTCTCTTTGCCACAGGCCTTGCAGGAGTGGCCAGGAGGGTCTGGTCTTTAAATGAAAGGTGCATCATGGCTTAGACATTAATTTTATGGATGGGTTGTTTCATTGGTATCATCTGCCTCACACCTTGACAAGAATGTTTGTCTTTATTCTTGTCTGCTTATTCCAGCTACCTGGCCAAGGCTTCCCCTTGCTCCCTGGATACATACCTAAGACCACGACTTTCATTCATTTCTTGATCAACCAATCATGAACTGGCCAGGGACAGGTGGCTTTGCATATATGCCTTTGCTTACTTCCACTGACGCTACCCTGGCCCCTCTTAGGGTTTGTTCACTAGCCAATACCTCACACAACCTCCAAGTTGATATCAACCATGCCCTGGGTTTTTTTATTTTTTTTTTCAGTATCAGGGATTGAACTCAGGACCTTGCACTTTCCAGGCAAGCACTTATTCTACAGAGCTATCTCCCCAGTCCAACCATGCCCTGTCAAAACCATTTATTTTTCCAAAACTTGAGAAAAGTCTTTCCTTAAAGCAAGCAAGGCTGAAAAATTAGTATACCCCTGTGCTATGTGAGGTCTTATCTTTGGAGGTGTTAATATAGATCCTCAGGCCATACTTTGGATTTGGTAGGCCTGCATTCTAGGGATCTTCTTGAGACACTTAAATCTCAAAAACTACAATTTCACACAGATCCTTCAACCACCACCACCACCCCTGACCTCTTTTCTGTTTTTTCATTACAGGGCACCTTCTACTGGGCTGTGCAACAGTAGACACCCAACCCTTCCTCTTAAAGCACTTCAATTTTTGTAATGGATGACTGAATCTCTACATTGCCATGCACCAGTGGTCACCCTTTGGAGTGGGTTGTTTCACGGTCCTACCTTTTGGAGTGTCCTCATAGAAGTGACACCCGCTACCCAATATTAGCCAATCTCAGGAATGGCTCCTACTAAATACAGAAAGGCTCTTCCTTTTTTGGGAAAGTAAAACTCAGATTACCACCTAGATTAAATACTAGAGACAGGTGTCCTGCCTTGACTGGGACCCACATTGGCCGTAGTGGTTGGGGCCTGGCAAGGACAGCAAAAGCTCTAACCTTCTTCCCTATATACCCAGTTGTTTTTGCCTGAGTAACCTGGGTGTTTCTCCTCTGTGGCCCTTCTGCTTACCTCTGCAGCCCTGCTAACTGGACTGGGACCACGACCCTGGTTTACCTGAGCCTAAAGATGGATATTGTGCAAGGGAAACAAGAATTCCCAGTCCCCATGCTAATGTCAGCCTAACACCATCAGGCTCCTGTACTCCTCCCCATGCCAGTGGGGCTAGACATAACTACTATGACAGGGACAGGGATTGCTGGGCTCATCACTGCCATCGATTCTTACAAATCCCTGTCCTGAGAACTCTCTCAAAGTTCAACTGAAATTTCCAAGGCCCTTTTCACATCACAAAGTGGGTTAGACTTCCTGGCAGCTGTAGCTCTTCAGAACCAAAGAGGGCTAGCCTCTACTCTCATCCTGGCAGCAGAAAAGGGGAGCTTGTGCCTCTTCCTGGAGGCGAGCAGCTTCTATGCAAACCAGTGTGGAATAGTTTTTTGGGGGGAGTGCACAGAGAGGCTACAAATGCAAGCCAATAAATTAAAGGAACTGGCTAGCTCTAACTGGCGGTTCTCCTGGATGCGCTGGAGGCCACAGCCTCTTCCCTTGGTTGGCCCCGTGGTCAGAACCCTCCTTATCATGCTCTTTGGGTTGCTGCTTGTATTCCTCCAGAGCCAGGTACAGGCCCTCACGAGACAATGTGCATTAAGTGCTGGTGCAGATTCATCCCAACATCAGCCCCCAGAAGTAAGTGATGCCCTGTGATAGGTTATACTAGGAGGATCCAAGGGGGGAAGTGTAGAGGAGCTTTTGTGACCAAAAGGTTTCAAAACCCAAATCTGTCGGCGGTCTGCGGTGCTCTTCCACTTCTGTACCCAGGCTTGCTGGCCACAGGATGGAACAGCAGTGCAAGCTACACCTCGCCTCTTTTTTTTTTTTCCAGTTTGTTCTCATACTAGTGAAGCTCCACTCTCTTGCAAAAGACCCCTGCCTACCTGATAAACAGCATCAAAGTAACTTGCAATACTAGCTCCATGATCAGGCTTTGGGGTAGGCAGCTCCTCTGAGCCCACCCTCCACTTCTCCATCTGCTGTTCCCTTTCTTCATTGCTATTAGACCTAAAATTGCTGTAACAGCTGATGTCATTCTGGACTTTGCTGTACTGGGTGATGCCAATTACTGTGTTACTGCTCACCCCTTAGGGGAGGCATGTAAGCCTAATTACTAGAATTTTATCTCAAGACCTGGTCTGCTCCAGACACCCCTACAGCCATAATTCTGATGCCTTTATTTTTTCCTGCTAACTTCTTTGACAAACCAATTCCCCTCTGACTGTATATTAATTTCTGTCTAATGTAGCTACTATTACCATTTTGGATCTATATGGACTAAGGGTTGGTCTCTGGGTGACACACAGCAGGAAGATAAAAGGAAGTCCTTAGGCTGAGACTGATCACATTCCTCCATCCCTCTAAGCCCTACCCACTGCCACCACCCCAGATCTTATCTTTCTTAAGGAGCCTCAACACTGATTTCCATAATGGTTGCACCAGTCTACATTCCCACCAGCAGTGGAGAAGAGTTCCTTTTCCCCCACAGTCTCTCCAACATTTGTTGTTGGTTGATTTCTTTATGATAGCCATTCTTTGTGGGGTGAGATCAGATCTTATCTTTCTCTCCACACCCAGTCCCTTTGCTTTTGGCCTTTTCCCCCTTGAAGGACTGCCAAATGTGTTGGTATATATTTCCTTGTAAAGTCCAGCTCTGAGCAGAGACAGCTGAGCTGGTGTGAAAGGCAGTGGAGGCCACACAGGTAGATTAGAGATTGATTGCTGCAAAATGCCACTCAAGGTGAGTGTGGAGCTGGCCAGGCATGAGCTGGCTGCACAGTCAGGGGAAGCCACTGAGGGTCTCAGAGTGAAGGGCTGCATGGAGGGGCTGGAGGAAGGGGAGGCCAAGAGACCCTCCCAGGAGGGCGGAAATGCCAGAGGAGCTCATGTAGTGCTGATCCTGCTCCATGGCCTCTCAGCCCTGGCCCTAGAATGACCTACACATGTTAAGGTTTATTAGCTCACAGTTTCTAGAGGTTTCAATCCATCATTGGCTGGCTCTAAGGCAGGGTGAACTGGCAGGGGAGCATCACAGAGGAAAACAGTTCCTGGCCCCCATGAGGTAGCAACAGCAACAGAGCGCCTTAATAGCCCCAACGTGCGGGACTGGGGGGCTTTGTCACTCAAGTCCTGGACCTGGCTGTCCATGTCTGAACCCGCCGTCTGCTCGGTATTTTGTCTGTCCTTCCACTGTCTCTTGTCCTATGATACCTCACAGGCATGTAGAGTGGGGGCATCACTGCTAACTGGTTCCTGAGGAGAGAATTCCAGCTCTCAGCTCTATTTTCACAACTCTGATCAAAACCCTACCAGGTTCTTCTGCTTTCCCTGTTTTTGCTAAAGACCAAAGTTAAACTCAGAATGACCCACTTTGACTGTTAGGATGAATAGCAAGGTAGGGCCACTGTCTTGTAGGGCTGGAACCTATGCAACTGTCCCCTTGAATCCTGAACAACAGTTTGTGCTGTCTTCAACTATGTCATTTTCTTTCCAACTCATTTAAAATTATATTATTGGAATTATTTTAATAATTTATAATCATTTATAATTGGCATTATTTATAATGTAAAAATAACTGGGATTATTTCAGTCATACCAGACCAAAAAACACCCAGGAATTTGACAGACAAGACAGTTCCCTAGCCCCTGTCCTCATCCACAGCCCAGCCCAGGCCAGCAGAGGTTCCTTCAGGCTGTGGAGACCAGCTTTCAAACCTGCAAGGCAATCAGAAGTTTGCATGATATCACGGTAAATTGAAAAAGCAACAGAGATTGTGGTTTGGCCCATTTACCCAGGCTCTGGGCACCAGGACATGCCATAAAGTGGGGCTATCAAATAGCCTTGTGGCAACATCTGGAACAACCTCTGCCTGCCCTCCTGGGTGAAGGCAAATTGGTCCTGACTGCCAGCGTCAGTATGAGATTTCACAGTCATTGACTAGGACCTGTCTAGTGTCTACACAGGCCATAGCAAAGGGCTTGTGCCAGTCATCTGCTTTTTCCAATTTCAAGCCTGGGCGTTCCATTTCTTTATGACCTCCAGGTAGTCGGTACTGGTGCTTGGTATGGATATCCTCAGACTTCAGCTTTTACCATAACAATTGGCAAGTGGAGTTCCCGGGTGAGGTGCTGAGTGGGCACCAGGCAGTCTGCCTACCCCCAGGATACACTTAGCCACTGGGGACATGCAAGCATCAGAAGGGCAGGGAGCCCTGGACAGCCTGGAGCTCTCACTGCCCAAGCGCTGGGGACTGGCCCAGCTCTGGCAACACTGAGAGTAGAGTGGGCTCTCACAGGTTTTCTGTCATTGGAGGATCCAGTGGCTGGTCCAGTGCTACCAGAGGTGCACTCTGTTTTATCACAGCGGAGCTCCACCTGAGCATCAGCCTCTTATTTGGCTCCGCATCCCCGGGCAGTACAAACTTGAGTGTCAATGTTTTACAGCTGCCTTCGGGCTGCAGCTGAAACCCAGTTCCCCACACCTGCTCCCAGTCATTTGCTCCCTGCACCACACTGGGAGTGCCTGTTTCTCTAGTGGGACTCTCTCTTTCACTTACGTGTGGCTAAGCCTGAAGCCATCAGGTGTGTCCATGTCTTCCGCCATCTGACCTGTGTGGACCCATAGCGGGTCCTTGGGGTGTTGGCTTCCGCTTGGCCTAGGACCACCCACCTTTTGTTTTGCTCATCTCCCCAGTCCCTTGAATCCTTGGCTGTGTAGAAGGGATAGAACTGGGCAGTCCTTCAGGCCCACCTCCTCAGCTAGAGCTCTTCTAATGCTACCTTCTGGTGAATAGCAGGCATGCAGCAATACAGGGGACTCTCCCAGAAATGGGAACTTGAGCTTAGGGATGAGGTCCTATTTCCTGCTTCCATATATTACCTGGCTCTCATGGAGCCAGCTGCTGTTTTGTTCTCCTCAGTTCAGTGCACTGGGATGGGGTTCCTGGCACAGCCAGTGTGTCCTAACATTGCCAACATGTCCTCACACCTTTGCTGTCCACATCCTGTAGTTGGACCATCTGTGGAATGGGCTGTCAGGTGTTAGAGCCCTGGCCAGGTGTTGGCAGGAGATGGGGGGCAGTGACTGGGTCATCTAGCTCCCACTGCCTGTGCGTCTGTGCACCCCTACCTGCCTCCTGCTGGTTGCCTTGGGGCTCTTCCCTATTTCATCACCTGGGACCGGCAGGACTGTCATTGTCCAGCAATCAGCTTGGGGCCTATGCCTGAGGAATTTTCTTAGGCTTCTATTTCTTGGGAGATTTTTGGATTTTTCCCTGGGGTTGGCCCTCAAGCTCTTCTCATCAAGGTTGGCTTTCCAAGCTGCTCTAAAGGTGACTACAGTTATCAAAGTCAGGACTGGGGGAGGCGTGTTGGCACTTCATCTCTGGGGCTCTTGTTCACCATCACGTGGGGGAGGGACACTCATTTTTTCCTGTTGACCCTGTTTGTTTTGCCCACTAGGCGACCTGTCAGGGTTCACAGGCTGAACTATTAAATATGTGAATGAGGTCCCAAGGAAAGCAAGCAGAGGTGGGCATCAGCAGTGCAGCAGTAGCAGGCAGTTGAGCAGAGCTAGATCCACCTGCATCTCTGTTGGTTAAGTCTCATACAGGCTATCATCACATGTTTACATTCCTGAAGAGTGTCCTAAGCACCCATGTGTGTTTACCTGTGCTATGTGTGGAAGTGCACCGACATAGCCCGAGCTTTGGGCACTTTACAGCCCTACTCCACTGTGTGTGAGGTCAGAACGCTCAGACACTGAATTTCCCATTCTCTTTTCCAGCAGATCGTAGGCCGGAACTCAAAACCTATGAAAATAGTATCTGGGGAACAGGTGGAGATTTTGTTTCCTATTCCAGTGTCAATAGAAGTGGCAGCTCAGGGGACTCTTCTGACTTACAGAATTAAAGACAGTCCACTGTCAAGCAGATAGGCATTTTATAGGATTGATATATATTAATAATATTAGACAGGCACTTTTAATACCTAAGTGGTCCCCTGTGTGTGACCTAATTATAGGGCCTGTGCTTATCACCCCAGAATGCTTTAGTGTCCAGACAAAGTTCTTTTCATGACAGTGAAGGCTGCCTGCTTTGGAAACACAAAGCTTTCCCTTGGTTTTTGAACAGTGAAGTAAGTTAGGATGTGCTGGCTTCACAGGAAAGACATCTTGCTCTTAGGCAAGGCTTCAGACTTTGCTGACAGTCCAAGCCCATGACCATCGGTGCAGAGTTCCCTGCTGCAGTGGTGGCCCTCTGTGGTCACTGGCTGACCTGTCTCCCTCTCCCAACAGCTCCCTTTCCATACTTCCATCTCAGATGGGCTGTACCCATCCAGGGTCATCACTGTGTCTGGCACTGTCCTGCAAAATGCTAAGAGGTAAGTCAGGACCTCCAGGGGTCTCAGGGAGGAGAGAGCCATGACTTGGTTCCAGGGAGGTGGGTAATGAGTGGGAAGGGGATCACCTGACTTCAGGGGACAGAGAAGGCCCATGTGATGTGCCCACCCCAGTTTCTACATCGACTTGTGCACGGAGAGTGACATCGCCTTCCGTTTCACCCCTCGATTGGATGAGAACACTGTGGTCTGGAACACTGAGATCCAGGGCGTCTGGGGGACAGAGGAGCGAGATCTGCCCTTTGGCATGCCCTTCAGACGTGAACACAGCTTCACGGTGAGATGCTGAGCCTGAGCGTGGGCACTTGGCTGGGTGCAAAGATAGTAGGGCTGAGGCTCCCTGGGGATTGCTTCAATGGGTGGGGCTGATGCCTGTGATAGGAGGGCTGGGCCCCAAGGGAGAGAGAATGGGACACAGGCTCCTCTTATTTTATGATGGTTTCCAGGTTGGCACAGGTTAGCATCTAACTTTTATAGATGAGCAAACCAAATAACAAGATAATTTACTTGCTGGGATCACACAGCCCATTTCTGCCAAATCGTACCCATGAATGAAGTGCCAGTTGTTTATCTGCTTGTTCACCCAGCAGTCATTTATCCACTCTTTGATTGTGTCTACGTGGTCTAGGAGATGCCTGGTGTGCAAGGAGGCAGGTGGGAAAAGAGAGAGCAGGGCCAAGCTGTGGGGCTGCATCTAGGTGGGGAGGAGCAAGGAGACCAAGGCAGGAGCCCATCAGCACAGGTAGAGATCCTGCTCAGTGAAGGCAAAGAGGAACTGGGCACAGGGATGACCACTGAGGGCTGACGTGCAGAGGAGGATACAGAGCTGCACTGCAGGATGCAGAGTGGGGGTGAGACGTGTGGCTGTGGCTGCAGCCTGGTCACCTTGAGCAGGCTTTCTCCACCCTGACCACACACTGGGATCTCGCAGAGCTTACAAAGGGTAAAGCCAGGTGCAGAGGGACATCCATGTGTAATAGTAACACATGGCACAGGAGGGTCCCAACAATTTTAGCCTAGTTTGGCAATTTAGTGACTTAGCTTGTCAAATAAAAAGTACAAAAAGGGGAGCACTGTGCCAAGGCCCTGGGTTCCTTTCTACTAGCACAAAAAAGAAACAAAAGTGAAAGAAAGAAAGGAAAGTAAGGGAAGGGAAATGAAAAGGCAGGACAGAATAGGAAAGGAAAAATTACAAAGGAAAGGAAAGAAAAAGAAAGTGAAGGGAAGGGAAGGGAAAGAAGGGAAGGGAAGGGAAGGGAAGGGAAGGGAAGGGAAGGGAAGGGAAGGGAAGGAAAGGAAAGGAAAGAAAACAAGAAAACAAGAAAGGAGAGCAGGTCCATGATCCTGTCCTCCCTTCCACCCTCTAGCAAGCCACCGAGACTGTCCCCCTGGGCATCCGCGTAGGCAGAAGCTGTGTCCTGGAGGCCAGCACTCTGCATCTGGGTGGGAAATGCCTGCTGGAGAGCTCTGGGGCTGGGAAGGGGGCTTGGATTTTACTACAGGGAGAATCCATGAAGGAACAACAGCAGGGACCCTGCCTTTGATTGATAGGTAGCTGGTGACCTCGGGGAAGTGCCTTTCAGCCAGGGACAGTCACTGGGTATTTGAGGCTTCATTTCTTCATCTACAAATGGAGCTAAGAGTCCTGGGATCTCAGAGTTGCAGGAATGGACTGGGGTAGTCTCTGTGCACACTAGGACAGTGCCCTGCACCCGAGTGTGATGCATTTGTGCCCTGACTGCCTCCTGAGGAGGTCCAGGGCTGGAGAGGACCAATCAGGGGGCTGCTGCTGCTTCTGCACGGTGCAGGCGTGGACATGGGGATCACAGATAGACCAGACAGCACTGCTGCCCTGGTGGAATGAGGTGGTCCTTGGTTCTGTGGGAGGTGTTGGGTGGGGGCAGGGAAGGCTGACCAGAGGGGCTGGGTCCTGTGGTACCTGGCAGTGACACACAGGCAGAGATGCAGGCTGGGAGCAGCACCGAGGGCCTGGAACCATGGGTGCTGGGGGCCCAGAGAGGAGACCACAGGGTGTTTAGGGATGAATGGGTCCTTCAGTTAGGGAGCTGGAGGGGCTGCTTGGGGTAGAAAGAGGAGGGAAGGAGGGGCTCCCATCCTACAGGAGGCTGAGGACTTTCTACATGGAGTGTGAGCGCAAGGCCTCTCTGCCCAGGTGGAGATCATATGTGAAGCTGATCACTACAGTGTGAGCGTGGATGGCCAACACCTGCTGGACTACGTCCACCGCCTGAAGGACCTGCCAGCCATCGATCGCCTGACGGTGGATGGTGATCTTGAGCTTAATTCAGTGAATGTCTAGGTGGCCTCCATGGCTGGTGCACTGCCATCTACATCTCCTCCTGCTCCTCTTCCTCACTTTGTACCAGCCTCCGGAGCCCTGACCTTTGAGCAGAGGCTGCCACTCACTGTAACAGCAGGAAAAGCCCAGCTCTACTCCTCCTGCACAGTAGGGTCCCCAGCCTGCTGAAACCCCAGCAAAGGCCCACACTTCATGGGGCTCTTAATGGCCCTCCCACCCTCTGCACAACCCCACTTTGGTCCCAGGCCACAGCTGTGCACTGCAGTGACGAGGTGACCTGCACAGCCTCCCCCAGCCCAGTCCTGTGACCTTAGCCTCTCTCCTTGGCTTTGCACCTTGTTGCCCCCCAGCCCCTCTGGGAAGGCTGCTTGGTGACATCTTGCTGGCTTCTTCCAACACACTGAAACTTTCTCAGAGAGGGCTCCTCCCTTTCCTGGAAAACTTAAAATAAAGAGAACACTGTCCTCCTGGCACCACAAGTGACTGTTTTGTGAGTGTGCTTGGAGCCATTTTGAATTTTCTGGAATTGGGGTTTTCTGCCCAGTGGAGTGCTCAAACACAGCACTTTTTCTCTTTGGCCAGTGAGGTCCTGACATTCATGCCTACACCCAGAGGGTCCCTTGTGAAGTCCAAGAGGACACTGAAGATGACAGCTGGGGCTCCATTCTCAGGAGAAAGTGCCCCTGACATAGGCACCTTGATATCCTGGGAAACCCAGGAAATGTCCTTGTGTTACTGAGAGGGGAGGAGGCTGGGACAATCTGTGGGGCCAGGGCAGAGCCACGAAGTCAGATGACCTGTGCCAAGTGGTAGTGGAGGTGGGTGGGGTCCTGGCCTGAGGCATGGGTGTGCCATTTTAAAGAGCAGTCAGTGGTCTGGTTGTGACATTCTTTGCAGGGTACTTTGTGCAGCTGGTGACCCAACCCTGAGCATGCT